TCGCCCCCCCCCCCCACAGTAGTTTTGCTCCATACCAATTCTGCACCAGATAGCATTTTTTAAAAAAAGTCTATACAAAATCATATGCATTTAAATGCATACAAAAAAGTTGTTTTCAACAGAGTTTTCTCTGATATGCATTTTTTGCAAAATTGTTTGCTGTTTTTGAAAATATAGCATCAAACTTGGCAATATGGAGGCCACTGCATCGGTAATGTGCAAAATGGCACATGACTCCTACTTAGGATATACAAAATGTTTGTTCTGGTTTCCATTGCCACCCAGACTGTCCCCCTTGACATTGGCTGTTTTGGATTGCTCAGAACCTGAGGTACTTGGGTAAGGGAGCTAGAAGCTTATTTTATGTTAGACTATTCCTAGTGATACAGAACCCACTAGTAGCAGAGATAGCTTAGTAGTAACTGTAGCTAGACAGATAACTCAGTGAGTTAGCCATTTGACTGTGGAGCCAGAAGTTGGGAGTTTGATTCCCACTGTGCCTCCTGTGAGTAGTGTCAGCTTGTGTGGTCCTAGGCAAGCTGCACAGTCCCAGGATAGCCCCAGAAGAAGGGACAGGTAAATTACTTCTGAGTAATCTTTATCTAGAAAACCCTGAAAAGGATTGCCAGAAATAAGAATTGACTTGATGACACCCAATTATTGTACTAGTGGTGATGTGTGTGCAAATAAAACTTGGAAAATGGTGTGAACTACAGTCCTTCCCCAAACACTCAAAAAACCCAGTCTGTTTGTGATATATTTGCTCACTTTTTCTTAAGAGATGAATGAACGATACCACTTTCAGCAATCTGTATTGATAATATAGGTCAGGAATGTTGAATGTTTGCTCCTCCCCAGGAAGACGTTGCCAGATTAAAACTTACATCATCCTCACCATTGATTGTGCTGTCTGGGGCTGAGGGAGTAGTTCAAACAACGAGTGAAAGGCTACATGTTCTTGATTTTTGGTTATATAAATCCTATGGATGATAATCCTGTTGCACAGTTGATTATAAAGGCAAATTTCCATAGATCAAAACCAGTGTTGGGGTGCATGTGACCTGTACATGGTGTGACAAAGTCACTTGCTCCCTGAAATTGTGAAAGGAAGCATTTAATCTGTAGCAATTTACTGTTGGTGTGACATCATCCTGCTGCACATCAGGGTTTCAGTCAGTGTAAAATAAGCTGGGTGGCTAGCTCAGTAGTTTAGCTATCTGAGGTCAGTGCCTGAGGTTGGGAGTTTGATTGCTCCCTGTGAGTAGAGTCAGCCTGTATAGTCCTGAACAAAGCTGCACAGATGCAAGATGCCCCTAAAAGAAGGGAATGGTGGAATGGTAAAACATTTCTGTGGGTTCTCTACCTGGAAAACCCTGAAAAGGGTCACCATGTCAGAACTGGCTTGGCGGCACCTCATTATTATTGTAATTCAAAATTTTAAACAAGAAAAACTGGTACCAGGACGTATTTATGGTTCTGTATTAGAGGTTCCCAGAAGAAGATGAGGTGGAATTAGTTCTAGTTCATTTTTGTTTTTGAACTAAGTTTTTTTAATGAAATCTGAGCTCCTTGGATTTTCATGCGGCTTCTTCGTGCACTAAATGCATTCAAATCTCAGGGTAGCTTCTTTAAACTCAGAAGAATCTAGCTGGTTTCCTCATTTCTCCTTTTCTTCTCCATTACCTTTGTGTACCATTAGGTCATTCTGCCTCCCAGGTTGATTTACTTCTCTTCTTTTCTCTCAGGTCCGTTGCAGGTTTGGACAAGGAACCTGACCTTGTACACATGGAGGCTCGGACGACAGATGGACGTGAGTGTCTTAGCCCCAAGCCTATAAAATTGGAGAGAAAGAGATTAAATTTCATTTGGCTCATTTTGATTTCTTGATTTGCATTTTAATTGATACAGAAAATGTGGGTTGCCATGCTCAATTTGCTGAGTGTTCCTTATCCTAGACTCCGAGGGAAGCCAGAACTACATTTGTTTTGTGATGAGAGAAAGAGAGAGAGAAAGATCTTATCTCAAACAGAAAGTGAGGGGAAAACTAGGCATCCAGAATTGAAAACCTGTCATTTATTAACTGTGTCTGCAGACATCCCTGTTAAAATGGTGTATATATAAGGAGCCAAATACTGTGGTTCCCCATGACCACCTATGCATTGATTCTTTCCTCTCAGTATACATACCCAAACCACTACTGATAGCAAAAACAGCTTATAATTAGAGATTGGCATGAACTGTTGGATTGTCAGTTTGTGCTGGTTCATTTTTCAACCAAACAGGTATTTGGCACTTCCCAGTCCAGCCTCCTCCAGCAGGTGTCCACTCAGAGGCAGCACCTGGACGAGGCAGAGTAGGCAACCTGGGGCACAGCCTCTAAGTGAGTGCCCGCTGAAGGAGGCGGGGCTGGGAAGTGCCAAACACCCATACAGCTGAAAAATGACTTGTTGAACTGGCGGTTTATGTCCATCTTTAAATCTCAGGATGACGTTTCTGCCTCTATTCTCGTCATGAGACAATATGTACTGGTGTAAATTCCTGATATAGTTCTTTCACTGATAAATTCCTTCTTGCTGCATTTCTTGAAATAACAGGAAAGGTATGTACAACTGATTGTACATTGATTTTATTCTAGTTATATGGTTTTATATGTTGTAAACTGCCCAGAGTGACCTTTGGCCAGATGGATGTTATCAATCAATCAATCAATCAGTCAATCAATCAATCAATCAATCAATCAATCCAGGCAACTCAAAAAATTGTTAATATTATTTATTTACATCATTTCTAGGTTCCATATTTAAAAATAGCAAATCCAGAAGATATTAAAGATAATCTTACATTTGTGAGCAAAAACCGTAGGCACATATACTTAAATCCAAAAATCATACAATTATTCAAAAACCATAGACTCAAATACTTAAAATACATTCTTTCAACTTGAAAAAAGATGCAGGTATTGAAACTTAGGTTGTAGGCAAAATGTGAACCATGTTTGAATCAAAAATGCGAAAGCATTAAAATGCAGAATCCTCATAGCCCACAAAGGCAGAGAATACATCTCTATGGGGCAGTATATAAGCAGCACACTTTAAAACACTTGAAAGTCCTCAAGAATAAAATTATAAAAAGCAAAAAACCTTATAACTTTCAGTGAAAGGCATGAAAAAGTATTTAAACCTTAAAAGTAAGAAATATACTAAGTAAAAAAAGCGTTTTTTTTTCCTCTAAGCATGTTGTTAACAGACTCAAAAATATTTTCTCTAAAAAGCTTAATATAACATTTCTTTTCTCCATTTATAATATTTTGTAAAAACTACCATTGCACAATATATTGTTATTCTCATTTATTTAACACAGGTTTTCACATCTCTTTTGTGATACTTTCACTTTTAATGCATCTTCAAAAATAACTTTTCATTTTTTGTCAACACCTCTGCATTCCATAAAGTAATTTTTTGAACTACCAACAAAGCCAAAACTCAATAATAACTAAAAAGTTACTAATACTTCACAAATAATAAATAACAATTGTTTGCATTCAAGTGCCTTCTAACTTGCGGCAACCCTTGACCAGGTTTTGAGTGTTCAGAAATGGTTTACCAGTCCCTTCTTTTGTGGGTGCTCTGAGACTGTACAACTTGGCTGAGGTTACACAGGTTGGTTTTGATCCCAAGAGGCACAATGGGGAATCAAATTTGTACCTCCTTGCATCACAGTTGGGTATTCCAATTCACTGAGCTATCCAGCCAGTACATCTCTGTTCTGATGGTTTGTTTACCTCTGTTAATAAAGACCTAGTATTTTCTCATTCACAATTCTGTTCCATTTACAGATGCCCATTATATAACTTGTAGGATTCAAGAATGTTCAGAAACTACCAAAAGAGGACCTTTTTTGCGGTCTATTGACACAAGTTCACTAGTCGTCCAGGATGAGTACATCTTCATTCAGGTATGTTGACAGCAAGTTGTAGAACACTGGCACATGACCCGCTCTTAGCACATTTATATCTTCTGATAACACTGTATTATAGGGCAATAGAATAGTAGTAGCAGTAGCAGTAGCAGTAGCAGTAGCAGTAGTAGTAGTAGTAGTAGTAGTAGTAGTAGTAGTAGTAGTAGTAGTAATGTCCTTTTGCTTGATTTAAGGGTCAAAATATTGGTTAAATTGGCATTTTTGTTGAAAAATGGTGATGCATAACATTAAACACATTGCTGATTAATTTGGATATCTGACAAGTCTGTACACGATATAATGGCTGAAATGCATTAGTAAGCTTCAACTAGAGTAGGCCCTTTGAATCAATGAAATTTATGGAGGAGTTCATTCATCCAATCCCCACTGATTCAATGGACATACTCTAGTTGTTCCTCTGTACAACTGCATTTTAGCCATACTATACTTTTTAAATATGATGTAAGATTTTTTGATTGTAGACATCATTCTATACTTTTTAAAAATATTTATTATTCTTGCTGGTTTATGATCAGACAAATGAATACATTATGATCATAGTTGATTTATCCTAGCTGATTTACTATCTTTCAATCTTACCAACCACTTCCAAATTTGTGATTCCTGTAAATCTAGGGATGTAAACCTTGTCTTTCTCAACCTTACATACAAAGACATAAAACTACAAAATTATCTTTTTATCCCATACAAGAGTGAGATGTTTTCTGATATTCTTGAGGATTAATTTTTGAAACTACATTTTTGCAAATGACACTTAATTCAAATAATGTAGACTCTGCAAAATAGCAATAGCGGATGATTTGTTACATGGACAATTTAAGGATTAGAAGCATCAGTAGGCTTTTGTTTTGCATCTTTGTAAACAAATAGCATGTTGTTTTCTGCTTCCTGTGTATGTGTGATTTGAAAAGAAAGTTTATGCAGGAATAGTTTGTACAGAATATAGAAACCTTGACAAGGAAACAATAGCTCCCTTTGTCTTGATCTTGCTTGAAACTAAGGAATTTCATGAGACTTGATAATTCATCAGTGAGGTGACTCATTGATGTAAGAATTTACATTAGTGAGAACAAAGAATTTAGTGAGTATTTTCTAGGTTTAGGCTGTAACTAAATAGGATTTCTAACAATCAAACAAAACAGAAACTTCCTTAATTGAATATTGTAACCTTTGGAACAGCCATAAATGCAGGTTAAACCATGGCTGGATGCAAAAATTTCAGCTCCTTTGCAAATGAAGTTTTCCATGCTAAGCACAGTCACTTGGAAGTACGGAATAAAGTTCAGTCTTAAGTACTGGACATGGGGTGGCAACATTCATCACTATGACATCCAAAGCCTTGCCAGCAGCTCGGGTGTAAGTTTGGGTTGGGTCTAAGACTCTTTGAAATGAAAAATCTTTCAGAGCAGTGGGATGAGGTTAACTCTGCTAGCAGCATTGGATGTTTGGGGGACATATCAGGGAAAGAAGGGGACATCGACTCCTGCTGATCATCCCCTGACATGCCCAACAAATCCATAGAATGTCTATCCTGCTCTGCTCAGAGAACACCCTGGACAGGTCATAACTAGAGGTGGGGACAAATTAAAAAATGGCAATTTGTTTTGATCCATTATTTGTCAAGGTTAACGGATCAACGAATATGACTATACGAATATTCTTTGACTAATCGACGAAGCAATCTGTTGATTCATCGGCACTTTGAACAGCTATAATACTTGTCCCCAACCACCTAGAGACACCAAATTTGCAGGGAAGCTTCCTCAAGGAAAGGACGATGTGGGGAGGTGGGCTATGGTATTGTGTGGGTGGCTACCTTTCTGCCGCCAATCAGCTGATCCGCAGCCAGTAGGCAGAATGGTGTTTTGTTGTTTTTTCAATACTAAGGATGAACAGAAATGGGTAAATATTCATCCCTTCATATTTGTGGGGGCCTCTGGAACCCACAAGTACAGATCAACAAATATGTAACAAATCAGCTATATTCGTCAGAAAAAGCAATCCGTTTTTATATTCGTCCCCATCTCTAGTCATAACCCCAGTGGAGCCTTCTGTCATGACACCATTGTGGCCTCTGACAACCACCTTCCTCTCTACCCATACATAGGGAGAGCCAAATCATCCCATACCCAAATATTTTCTCAGGGGTTACTTCCTTAATTGAATCAAAATATGAATGAACACAAATATTGAAACAACTCAAGGTGTTATGCACTGCAGCAAGTTGGGGGCAGTACATCTTTGTAGAATTGTTATTTTCATATGCATATCAAGCTACCTAAATTATGCTGAAGTAGAAATGGGCATGAACTACCCGTTCAGTAGTTCAGCATTGTTCATTTACCATCACACAACTAATCTGCAGTTTGGCATCCTGCCCCTCCAGTGGGTGCCCACTCAGAAACAGTGCTCTAGCTTCCCTGCTCCACCTCCTCCTGGTGCTGCCTCCCAGTGGGTGCCCACCAGAGGGGTGTGTGTGACATACTACAGTTCAGCTCTGTGGCTGGTAAATGAACCATGCTGAACTGCTGAACTGGTGGTTCATTCCCATCTCTATGCGGAAGAGTTGGGCCTCATGGCACAGTGGTTAAATTGCAGTACTGCAGCCAAGACTCTGCTCACAACCTGAGTTCGATCCTGTTGGGCTCAGGTAGCCAACTCAAGCTTGAGCCTTCCATCCTTCATAGGATGGTAAATTGAGTACCCAGCTTGCTAGGGGAGCAGTGTGTAGCCTGCATAATTAAATTTTAAATCAGCTGGAAAGTACTTTAAGCACTATGGGGTGATATATAAGCAGCACACATTGCATTTGCCCCCACTCCCATAAACTACTGAACTGCCATTTATAATAGCATTTACTTCCCATTGTGAATTGAGTTTTTGAAAAAAAAAACTTCATATAAATGAAAGAAATGAAGGCTATACTTGCTATAATTTGACTGGCAGTTTAGATACACAGCTTGTTATAAACCTTTCTTCCATTCACAATATTGGACTTTGTCTATTATAACTAGAGGTGGGGACAAATTAAAAAATTCGGATGACTCTTAAGTTTGTTTCTTTGTTTGTTTGTTGATCTCTCTTGGTGCACTATGGGGTGATATATAAGCAGCACACATTGCATTTGCCCCCACTCCCATAAACTACTGAACTGCCATTTATAATAGCATTTACTTCCCATTGTGAATTGAGTTTTTGAAAAAAAAAACTTCATATAAATGAAAGAAATGAAGGCTATACTTGCTATAATTTGACTGGCAGTTTAGATACACAGCTTGTTATAAACCTTTCTTCCATTCACAATATTGGACTTTGTCTATGACCTTTTCTTTTGAATCCTTCTTTCTGTGTGGAATCCGGATGACTCTAAAGTTTGTTTCTTTGTTTGTTTGTTGATTTCTCTTGCTCTCTTTCTTTTACTGGAACAGACCAACTCAGTGGATATCTTGCAATATGATTCATCTCCTTTCTCCTTGGTATTTTATACATTTCCGTGTATGTTTTCCCTAAATTCCTGTCCCATCTCACTATGAGTTGTAAGTTGACTACTGTTCAAAGATGTAATGAATACAGTATATGTATTTGATTTTCCCATCTCTTTTTCTGAGTACTGGGGCTTAATAAGCATCTCCACTTGTTCTGATAATGGACTAACAGTCCTGGAAGCTGCTAATTTTCACAGCTGGACATTTTACTATTTTAAGTTCTGTGCTTGTTGAATCCTATAGACAAAAGAAGGTTATTTGATACCTGACACTTGGTGATTGCAATGACTTGTTAGGAAATCATTTGAGTACAGTGGTGCCTCGCTTAACGATGATAATCCATTCCAAGAAAATCGCCGTTAAGCGAACACATCGTAAAGTGAAAAAAAAACACCCATTGAAATGTATTGAAACCCATTCAGTGTGTTCCAATAGGGTAAAAGCTCACCGTCCAGCGAAGATCCTCCATATGGTGGCGATTTTCGCTATCTGTATAGTGAGGAATCCATCCCTAAACACAGCGGGGAGCCATTTTAACCACCCAGTGGCCATTTTGAAACCACTGATCAGCTGTTCAAAAAACATCATTTTGCGAAGAATTGGTTCCTGAAGCAGGGAACCGATCATCGCAAAGCAAAATTCCCCCATTCAGACCATCATTTTGCGATCACAATTGCGATTGCAAAAGATTGTCATTTAGTGGATTTTGATTGCAAAAAGATCGTCGTTAAGCGGATTTTTCATAATGTGGGGCAATCGTAAAGTGAGGCACCACTGTATTTGGGATGGGGGAGGAAAGGAGCTCCGAGAATGAAGCCTGAGTTTTTGCCTCTGAGGATTGTGTTCTGTTATGTTTCAAACATCTGCAGTGAGCAAAAAGATTTCCTTCAAAGTTTATCCCACTCTCCCTACACCTGTTGTATTGCTATGGTAGTGTCTCCTTCTGCTTGTTGCATCCCTCACACCTCAGCAGGATGGAAGAAAAAGGATGTGGTAAAGTAGCAACTTTGTCTAGACCTGACAATCAAACCAGATGTTTCTCAGACATGGAACAACTGAGTGTGGAAGTTCTGTATCTGAAGGGGGAAAAGGAGGGCGCTATTACAATGCTTATTTCAACTGGAAGTTTCAAATCTTTTATTTCGAGCCTTCAAGTTGTTCCTAGTATTTTGTACCTGAAGAAGCAGAAGAAATGGGTTAATGGATTATACAAGTATGGACTTCTTTGAAGTCGGTAGCTTTCATTGTTCTCCCTCAATCAACCGGTTCTAAATTTTATACTTAGATTATTACTGTGTGAAACAGCCTTGTTATAAGGGTAAATGTGTACTGTATTAAGTATAAATGTGTGTGTATGTATTATGTACACAACAGATCTAAGAGTGGAAAAGACTTAGCATCTGTTGCATGTAGACATAAGATAAAACAGAAGGAAACTGTACTGTTTTCCTTCTATTTTTGTACATTTTGAATTAATGAAAAAGATATTTA